GGGATCCTGTTGTCAGGCACGAAATGATTGCCGTTGGCAAACTCGTTGAACCCATTGGCGTAGGGATCGATCAACACGGACTGCAGATGGCGCCGCACCAGCCCATGCAGCATCTCCATCAGCTTCGGATCCTGTTTTGCAAAGGGAATGTACGGCAGCACCTGAAACATGGAGTCCCGTAACCACATGGCGTTAATGTCACCAGTGATGATAAAGCTGTCCTGTTCGGAGGCCCGTATGACGGTTGTATCCAACGTGTTCGGAAAGCAGTTTTCAAACAATGTGGCGAGATCCTTGTCCTTCATGCGCCCAGTGTAGTTGGCAATGACCTCCTCAATTGTGTTGGAACGGAACCTCCGGTCCTCCAGGCTCGGTCGCGCCGCAGGGATATCAACTGCCTGTGCGTTGCATGCGCAGGCGAGCCAGCCAAACAACAACAGAGGCAGAAGCACCCAATATTGCATTTGTCGCGTAAATATGTTATAGTATGAGATCTTATTTGCGTTCTTAATGGGATACAATAATGACAGCAATAATAAAATAGGAAAAAAAAGGACAACGAAATTCAACCAGGTGCAGCCAGTTGGACAATACACAATGTAGCCTGTATTTCACGAATGCCGCAACCACCACATGGTCGTTACGCTTCAGTTGCCTTTCACAGAGCACGTCAGAATTGCAGTTATTCCCCTTCTGTGTAATTTCACCGGTGTCCGACACAGCGTGTCGCCAAGGTTTGTGTGCAAGTAAACCTGAAACGCAGCGAAAGCGCGTTCAAAGAAAGAGTGAGGAGTGGTGTTTTCAAAACAGAACGACACCTCAGGCTTCAATCACATGGCTCGGTCAACCGGAAGAAGCCAAGGGAGTCATCGGCGGATGGCATTTCTGTCAGCGGCAGGCAGCGCGGCCGAGAGGAACCGCTGCTAAAGGGGAGACGACGCGCCACGAGCGACAAATAGAAACATGCAGGCAGTGGGTATTACGAACGGTGTCATTGTTCATATAAAATCCATGTGAAGCCGCGCAGCTCGCGGGTGAGATGCAGGCAACCACAGTCACCGCAAAGCGCATGGAGGCTTTTAGAGAGTTGATCCGCGAGACTAAGTCACACCTTTGGAGCTACGACAGAACGCACTCTGTCTCGAAGCATTTGCGGTGCTGTCGTCAGCCTCTGCTAGAATCACGGTGAACCCTTGCACCTGCAAATACAGGCATTTTTTTTTTCTTCCTCGTGTCTTCACGACTCTCGTCGATGGCTCCGCTCCATCAGCTACCATCGTAGAGCACGTTCGTTATTGCTAAATTTCTATGTGGAAGGAGGTCCCTTTGTTTTGTTATGTATTTTGTTATTTTTGGTGTTTTTTGTTTTTGTTCTGTTATTTTTGGTAGTTTTGTTTTGTGTTTTGTTGCTTTTGGTATTTTGTTTTCTGTTTCGTTGTGCCGGTCCAGTGAAAAACATGCGTTGGAGGATCGGTCGGCTCAGTGCTCTCAACTGGGGCTTGAAAGCCTACTTGGCCCACTGGTCTTAGCTCTCTCAGGGGGGAGGCACATTCGGCGTGAGATCAACAAAAATA